TTGAAATTCATTAATTTTGTATTAATTCTCATAAGTTTATTAAAAACACAAGTAGACACGCTACACGCGCTTGTCGGCAGCTGGCTTCCGTGCACATCCGGTTCCACTGTTGTTGTTGTTAGCGTCGGATGGCACCAGAGTTCGGCTGGACTACTACTGTACTTCATTTTTATATAAAAACCGGACCAAACTGGACATTACTTGGAGAAAAGAAAGCGAGGAAGTTGAACTACCTGGTGAGTTTAGAAAATGTGTGTCTGTAACTTTATTCCAGCTGTTGTTGTACTTTACTGTGAACAGGTTAGCATAGCATAGCCCTGATCGATCTGAACTCCATTCAGAAAACACGTATTTTGAAAGTTGTCGTCCTGCTGTCTTGCTGACAGACCTGACAAAGTATGAATTCATATGTCTAACAAAACGGCATAATATTGTAGTTATTTCGGCATCAGTTTGATCTGTTTATTGCAATTAAATCACAGCCAAGGGTTTACTTTGTGTTCATATAGCTGTAGTATTCGCGGGCTGTTTATTCGCTTAAAACGCGCATGTGTGAACACTCAAAATGCCCAGCGGTCAAACTCGCGTGAGTAAAGTGAGGCGAATATTAAATTCGCTTTCGGTGGGAACGCACCTTTACTCTTTACATTGATACTATTTTTCAAAGGCCTTGCCCTTAACCTCTTTCTTAATACATTCTTTCCAGAAAATAGTTGAAAATAGAAATGCTTATTCATTGTTTTTGCTGTACCAGCCCATGCCAAGTCAAACAATGACTTAACTTTGGCCATTGCTCATACATTCACACTTCATTCTTTTACACACTCTGCACTTCCTCTCTACTCACACTCACAAAACATTCACTTACACCTTCACTGCAATCAGAGAATCATAGTGTCAGTGAATTTATAGCGGGTGTGTGACGGCATAGCAGTAAGCGTAATGTGGCTCACACCACTCGGGTGGGCTGAGGATCATCAGTCAAACTGAAATCCTGAGGTGACACTGCCAAAATCCACTGTACAAGCCGCTGTAGACGACCCACAGTGTCTTGCATTAATAACTAGATTGTTCCAGCCCTGTGCTGATGTCAGGATGCATTAAGGTCCATCATGGAGATAGGACTGGTGTGTCATTACAGACAATGGAGCTGTGTGTGGAGCCACTAGATAAGCAGAGAGGACTGGGCTTGTTGTTGGGGAGTCTAGCCAGTGATATTGACAAAACTCTGTGGGCTGCTTGATGTGTGTAGCGGAGAGTCGGTGTGGGAACAGATGCACGGGCAAACTCGTACGCACACAGACAGACAAGTGTGGGCGTACACACACTCACTCTCACACACTAAACACTCAGACACACAAACAAACACATTAACACACAGACACACTAGACAAAAACCCAAAAGGCATGAGAGAAGACAGTCACACTCTATTCTTTGCATGTGTGAGAATGAATCAGGGTGGTGATGAGCACAGTTGCTAGAGAGAACAGTAACATCTTGGGGCAACTTTGTGGAGGTAGAGACATAATTTTTGCAGATGACAAATTATTTTTTCTGAATAAAGAGTAACTTTAAGTAGCATGAAATCTGAGGGTTTCAGCCCAGATGTTTAATGTGTCTTTTGTTTGGTCAGTGACTGCAACTATAAAGGGAGCAATGACTTCTGACATTTTTTCTGGAGGCCTTCTTGTCGGGGCGGAGAGAGCAGAAATGGCCATTAATCTTAGTGGTACCTTTTAGAGGTGACATTGAAAGTTGGCATTTTGAAAGCCTCTTGTAAGTGGCAGTAAAGAGCAATAATACATCTAAAATGCCTCCTCAGAAAGCTGGAGATGAAATAGCTGTGCTTCGCCAGACAGAGTCACAGTCAGGGTTTCTGAGGATTGAGGAAGGTGTCAGAATAAAGGATGTAGTTTTAATATGTTCCGGCATCAAGGGAAATCACACAACTAGCCAGAAATGGCTAGACATAGAGCAATGACAATTCAGGGTAGAAAAGTGAGAGGATCAGAATTTAACTTTAAGAAAAGACATTTTGAAGCATTTTGGATTCTACTTCTAACCAGACATACATTTAGAAATGTGTAATTGTTTGTGTGTGTCTTTTTCTCTGTGAATGTTTCCTTTGCTGCACTCAAGTCTAAATTTGATTCAGAACTATTAGTTGATCAAATTAAAAGGATGATATTGTATGAATCAAACTAACTGGGAGATGCTTAAATTGATGCTAGGTGATTGCATAGATAATTTCTCTAAAAGAAGAATCACTACTCTGTTGGCTCCTGTTGAACTACAAAAACATACTGTCCATTGGTGAACATAAAGTCATTCTGTGGAATGAATCTTTGGCTGAATACAGACACCAGCTGCTAAGAGCACATTAACCACAGAACAGACAAACTTTTCCTTATAGCCTGTTACAGCATTAACGCCAAATATCCACAGCTTATCCACCAGTGATGTCTGTCATTTTAACCAGCTACCTACACTGCTCAAAAAAATAAAGGGAACACTAAAATAACACATCCTAGATCTGAATGAATGAAATAATCTCATTAAATACTCCTTTCTTTACATAGTTGAATGTGCTGACAACAAAATCACACAAATTATCAATGGAAATCAAATTTATCAACCCATGGAGGTCTGGATTTGGAGTCACACTCAAAATCAAAGTAGAAAACCACACTACAGGCCGATCCAACTTTGATGTAATGTCCTTAAAACAAGTCAAAATGAGGCTCAGTAGTGTGTGTGGCCTCCACGTGCCTGTATGACCTCCCTACAACGCCTAGGCATGCTCCTGATGAGGTGGCGGATGGTCTCCTGAGGGATCTCCTCCCAGACCTGGACTGAAGCATCCGCCAACTCCTGGACAGTCTGTGGTGCAATGTGGCGTTGGTGGATGGAGCGAGACATGATGTCCCAGATGTGCTCAATCGGATTCTGGGGAATGGGCGGGCCAGTCCATAGCATCAATGCCTTCCTCTTGCAGGAACTGCTGACACACTCCAGCCACATGAGGTCTAGCATTGTCTTGCATTAGGAGGAACCCAGGGCCAACCGCACCAGCATATGGTCTCACAAGGGGTCTGAGGATCCCCCAAAGAAATGCCACCCCACACCATTACTGACCCACCGCCAAACCGGTCATGCTGGAGGATGTTGCAGGCAGCAGAACGTTCTCCACGGGGTCTACAGACTCTGTCATGTCTGTCACATGTAGTGTAGCTCAGTGTGAACCTGCTTTCATCTGTGAAGAGCACAGGGCGCCAGTGGCAAGTTTGCTAATCTTGATGTTCTCTGGCAAATGCCAAACGTCCTGCACGGTGTTGGGCTGTAAGCACAACCCTCACCTGTGTCTGCTGTCCTGCTGCTGGGTTGTTGCCCTCCTACGGCCTCCTCCACGTCTCCTGATGTACTGGCCTGTCTCCTGGTAGCGCCTCCATGCTCTGGACACTACGCTGACAGACACAGCAAACCTTCTTGCCACAGCTCGCATTGATTTGCCATCCTGGATGAGCTGCACTACCTGAGCCACTTGTGTGGTTTGTAGACTCCGTCTCATGCTACCACTAGAGTGAAAGCACCGCCAGCATTCAAAAGTGACCAAAACCTCAGCCAGGAAGCATAGGAACTGAGAAGTGGTCTGTGGTCACCACCTGTAGAACCACTCCTTTATTGGGGGTGTCTTGCTAATTGCCTATAATTTCCACCTGTTGTCTATTCCATCTGCACAACAGCATGTGAAATTGATTGTCAATCAGTGTTGCTTCCTAAGTGGACAGTTTGATTTCACAGGAGTGTGATTGACTTGGAGTTACATTGTGCTGTTTAAGTGTTCCCTTTATTTTTTTGAGCAGTGTATATGTTTTCATTGCTCTTTGCTAATAGAAAGAGGGGAGAAATAAAAGGTTTAAGAAGAGAATTATTAATGTCGGAGCATAACAAAAATGGGTATTTTTCCTGAACCCATACACAGTCAGGCCTCTCTTGCAAAAGAGATCTTAAGGAGATTAGCAAAAAATGAAACTATCTACACCTGGCTCCTGATTGTTGAAAGACATACTTGGACATTTTGGCAGAGAGTTAGATGAGAATGTCTATCCCACTTTCGGAAATGTCAAGCTATTGCTTTTGAGTGCTTTTTATTGCTGTTATCTTTTGTATGTGACAGTACATTGTTTCACACTGAGACATTTATTGTTGATAACAATAGATGTAACATCAATGGCATAAGAAACAGAAGGGACATACTGATAATCACATAGCTAGGAAGAATATCCATGCAACATATGATAATACTGATTACTATCAGGAGACAACATTCATACTATGGGCTTATCAGTCAGTGTGGTACCAAGTTCAAAAAAGATTCCAAACGAGTGCTTTACTCTTGTTTCTGTTATTCATCTTGTTAAGCGTAAACTCATATGAAGCCGTTTTTAATCTGAGTCTGAGTATTGTCCTAGCAGCCACTGCGATGCCTACCATGGTTACCAAAATTCCTGATGTTGTGTTTGAGTTCTGTCCCCTAATAAACATAATCTTACAGATAAAGGTAATTTCCTTCCCGACCAATAGCTCATAAATTCGAAATTTATTCTCCGGAAGTGTTGCATAATTGGACACTCCCAAATGCATCAAAGTGTCTGTTTTTTGTGACATTTCCAACACAAATTGCTTTTTATTGAACTCATTCTATTAAGCCTCGTTGGTGTCCAATAATATCTTTCTATTATTCTGTATTGTAGTTTCTCTTTAGCAAAGCATCATTTTCTATGGAAAGAGTTGTAAAAGCATTAAGCAGCACTGCTTGCATTGAGGGGCTGTGTCTCAACAACACAGCAGGACCCAGCATTACAACAAACCCATATGTCAGCCCTGTAGGTGGGACTGACACAGTGTTTGTATGGTGCATGTAATCTAAAATGATACTAAAAGCCAGCTCTGCTAATCTACTCCACAATGGAAGTTTTGATTCATGCGTGGCTGTTACCTTAGTGTCCAAACGCTGCAGGTAGGAACAGATGTACTCGATGCTGGCTCCAAATGGGTGGACGTGCAGGAACGTCGAAATGATCCCTGAGGAAGAACAAACAAGCCATGTAGAGACGTTACTGCAGAGACATGTCACCTGCCTCCACTTTCTGACACCTGTCAAACTACCAGGGGATGTGCTCCTTTCTCCTCTCCTCTGACTGAGTCTAACACAAGCTTTGAGTGGCTTCTTCCAGTGTCCCAGTACTGTTAAGAGCCTCTTGTATATCGTGGCTCCAGATTAGAGGGTGTTTAATGACAGCTTTGATGTCGTTGTCTCTCATCAAAGCCATACTCTTCCCCCGGCTCAAACAAACCATCTGCTATTAGCGCACAGATAGGGTCAGGAGAGAGATAATCCTCCACCTCGGCTTGCTAACCACCTATAGAGTATTAAGGGACATACAGTTGAAACAAACAGCCGTGAAGCTTTCTACTGGCTCAAACACTTGAGCAAGAATACCACAATCACTTTTAAGAGTGGCTGTCTGTGTTTATTTGCCTTAAAGAGCCAATGAACATGTTCTCCAACTGACACTACAGACTCTCACACTTCCTCCTCTGTGTACTTTGAGACTTACAACTATGACCATTTGATTTTTCTAAATTTCATGGGAATCCCAAGCGTATGCTTTGTAGTGTCATGCAAATTTGTAGCTCATCCTCTATGACAGCAGGTGATATTACACCTTAAAACTTGCATCAGCTAGAGCAAATCTTCACCTTTGTTTGGGTAGTGTTACAGACTCTGTATGGATGTGTTTGACTTTTTTTTTGTGGGCGGCTGTGGCTCAAGAGGTTGCCCGTTAATCGGAAGGTTGGCAGTTAAATCCCTGGCTCCTCCAGGCTGCATGTCGAAGTGTCCTTGGGGAAGATACTGAACTCCGAATTGCCCCTGGTGGCTGTTCCACCAGTGTATGGATGTGTATGAATGTTAGTTTCTGTTTGAGCACGCTCAGTGTATGAATGTGTGTGAATGGTGAATGTGATGTAGTGTAAAAGCGCTTTGAGTGGACGAAAAGACTAGAAAGGCACTGTACGAATACGGAGCATTTACGTTTACATTTTCACACCTGCTACTAGTTTTCAACTATACCAAGGCCATGGAAGCCTGCTGTGGGCCCCTTCTAACCCCCCCCTTTCCCACCATTCTGTGAATTTTGTTTCCGCATCAACAGTGCCTGCATAAACTGGGCATACAATAATGCAATATAATAATATATACACAATACAATAATGCCTAGTTTATGAAGCAATTGTTCAGGCAAAAAAGTAGTATTGGCAATGCAGCATACCAACTAGCAGAGCTTCCCTCTCAGATTGAATGGGACTTGGTGGATTCTTCTCTGTAGGACCTTCCTTCTCCTGACTGCAAGATACCACTGTTGATGCAGTGGCTTCCTACAAAAACATAGACACACATATAACCTTAAATGAATCTGTTATCAGCCATTGTTAGACTGTGGCTCATGAGAAGTAAACAAACTTAAACTTAAGCTGATGCATGGCACACAATAAAAAAGACGAACACGAAAAAGAATGAGCAGATCAGAAAGTTTCACTACCAGCACATTAATACGGCGAGACAATGAGAACGAGGATAATGAGGCGAGGGGGAATTTTCAGCCAGCAGCTATATTTCTGATAGAGGGATGAAATGCATGTCACACACACCAACACAAAATAGAGACAACTTTAAAAAGAACAAATAGAGGGAGAGACTTGGAAGGGAAATGATCAAGCTGTTTGTTTCAGATCTCTGACAGGTGGCAGAAAAATGGCAGAGAAATAACAGAGGAGCTTTTGTCTGTTTGTTGTCTTACATAGTATTGTGTGTAGTTTCCACTTATGGTGTGGGATGCCTGGTGGCCCTTTTCTGTTTTTAATCTATCCTTAACACCCTGCGAGTATGGGAGTGTAGACACATGCACATGTGTGAGCCATTTCGACTTTATGACTCCTTTATTTCCTAGCCCAATTGTGTCTGGGTGATTTATTCTATGACAAATGCAGTCGCTGTGAATTGGATTGGCCTGTAATGATCTGTCATGCCACTGGAAGAGGTTACAGAGGACAGTCAGAGTAGGAAGTAGAAGAAGGGAAAAATTAGGACACAAAACAATATCTGGAGATGAGTGGGGAGGGCTCAACCTTTTTCCACTTACACTGGTTTGATTAGCGCTCTCCTCTGTGCCTCTGTCATCTTGCTTCGACATCTCCAGCTGCGACACATTAGAAACACGTGAGGAAAAGCCAGAGAGAGACAAGCTAAGCGTTATTGCAGACAGACGGGCGAGCGTGGTGGCGCACAGCATGGTGACAAATACAAGCATTGTCTAACAAGGAAAAATGGTCAGCTATTGTTTTTGTAGCAATGAAGACTTTGAGAGTTCCAATTTCCTGGAAATATTAGTGCAGAGAGAATTACTTGACTAATCAAACCTTTTTGTTTCGATATACACCCATAACCCTATTAAGGATGGCTTTAAGGAGTTATTTGGGAACACTGCACCTCAGAAAACACAGTCTCTTTTGGATCCATGGCTGTGCATGTGAATACAAGTGATCCTGGAATTGTTGAACAGTAGTAAAAGCTGGATGTTTTAGTAATCAGGCATGCAAACTAGTCAGGGGTAAAAAAAGGTGAGAAGGATACGCAAGCAGATAAATACAGAGACAGTGTAAGAGGGGTCTGTTTAAGCTTACATGTTTCTATAGATAACTTGCAATTATCCACTGCAACAAGAGAAATACAACGATGCAGAAGATCGTCACGGTGTTGAAAAGGGGGGACATAAGGGCGAAGAGAATTAAACACTTAAAGCCCCCTCAAGCCAGTTTTAACTGCTGTTTTTGGTTAACGTTCTTTCTCAAGGAAACTAAAAACTAAAATGAAGACCCTCTGTTAGCCAACTTTCTGGAATAACTATGCTTGCTAGCTAACTACACCTGGCTAACTACAACTTAGTTAACTTAGCTAACTAAACTAGAAAGACAAACCAACAATCAGACACAGAGAGACATACCTACTTTAAGTTTTAAGTAAATTACATGATAAATTGGTTAGCAACCTCACAATGATGTTTATCGGTTTGATGCTCTGACTTAACGAGGCGTGATGGCGTGACAGTTTTTTAACGAGGCATGACAGTGCGCCTGCACAAGCTTGGAGAATGACGTATGACTTATGGAACTACTATAGTCATACGTCACAAGCCCACAGACCTGACAGAAGTTGAACTTCCAACTATGGTTTGTCCCAGAAGACACCGCGCACAAAACGTGATGATGTTAATCTCAGCTCACGTACAGGATAGATCCTAATGCATACTAGTGATGGCAAGTTCGACTCTTTTGACAGTGTCGTTCGTTCAAATCTCGTTTATTAAAATGAACTAATCTTTTTTTGAGTCATTTCGTTCATTTGAACTAGGCTGGTTATTGTGGTGCTGCAGCCCTCTAGTGGGCAATTAAAAAACAGTGCCATTCTCAAACACAGAAGGCTGCCTGACTTGCTTTTATTTGACAAAGTATAATGCACAAATTCACCTCTTGATTACTCTCTATCATCATTATATAAACCCCCCTGGGCCCACAACCAAATTCAAACCATGTAAAAACCACAGAAATATGTTGTCAATATGTAATCACCACTACTTCGGCTAAATCCTTCCATTTTCACAATCTTTCCCGAGTACAACCAGACCAACCATATAAATGCTTATGTATATAATTACTATCATTATCTCTGAATATTATCTTAAAATATTAATATCAGATTTGCAGTAAATATATAGAAATAATAAGCTTGATACACTTCATGAATAAACACACTCTTATTAAAATTCAACCAATTTAATAATAATCTGGATCAAGCCACTAAGTTCTTAAAGAACTCCAGCACTGAGAGAGGAACAAAGAAATAAACATGTAAACGCAGCAGTTTGGCAGTTCTGGACGCAGAACGGGCCACATCAGGTTCGGATTCTGCAGACAGAGAAACACACATGAGCACATCGCTCTCAAACACTGCAGGTTGTTCACCAGTCACGAGCAGTGAAACAACAGCTAACAGCTGATCCAGGTCCGCCAGCACGGCTCAACAGAGCCGTGCTGGCGGACCTGGATCAGCTGTTAGCTGTTAGCTGTGTTTTAATGACCGGGTCTGTTTGTTTTGGAGAGGAGACGACCTTGGAGGTAATTTGGCTCCCGGCAGAACTCTGTCAGGGCTCTGAAGTGGAGCGGACCCAGAACAACTCTCATCAGCTGTTAGCAGTAATGTTAAACACTAGCAGGACTAAAGTTACGGTACGGCTGTGTTAAAACTATAAGTTAGCACAACATCACTGCGCTGTAATAACGTTATGCTTTATAAAATGTCACATAATTAACAAAATAGCTATATAATGTCAGTCCAGTTACCTGACAGCCGACCTGCCTCTCATTCTCCGGTGCTGGCAGTCACTCATCCTGCAGAATGAACGAAAGACTGAGGAGGACCCATGTGAGCGGTGAACGAGTAGTTCATTCCTGCTCCACAGGAGCTGTCACGTGACAAATGAACGACTCAAACCTAGAGACCCACCGTTGCTATGAGTCGTGAACTAATCAGTTCTGTTTCCTGTGCTGACGGAGCCCATGCAGCTGACGTGTGAACGTAAGAGTCCAAGATCCTTCACGCATGCGTGAAAAAGAACGAATTACTCACTGAGACAACCCGTTCCTCCCGAGTCATATACACGATTAGGTCTTATGAACGAAACGTTCTTTGAACGACAACACTAATACAAACCGTATACTCTTTAGAGGCCAACAACAGAACTTGAAATACACTTCTGACAAGGTTTTAGGCGAGAAATCAACTGTGTAGATTTCCAATATCGGCAGTTTTACGAAAATTGGTGGCGAATCAAAAATGTGTTCAAACGTTTTCGGAGTTGAAAACTCCGGAAAAGCCGATCATGGTGCCAACGGTTGTTATAGCTGCAGTAACGTTACCGGAGGCTGCACAGCAACACAATGGAGCCGACGTGCTAGCGGATAGGGTTAACCGGTCGACATGCATATAATCAATAACTGTAGGCACACACCCTGTGATGGTTAGGGTAAGAGGAATAAATATACTTCGGGGGGCTGTAAGGAATAGTTAGCTAGCTAGCTCCGGTTAGCTGCCCCAGGCCCAGTCACACAGACCACTGCAGCCAACACAGCAGACGTGTCCAGCAACAGCTGAATGATAGTGTTAATGTTCGTACCACTGTTATTCTATCATTAAATTCTCAGTAATGTTGTAAAGTTTCTTCTAATCAATTCTGGTTTGTGAAACTTAAAATCACTTTGGAAGAAATAAAACAGTGGTATGAATTGAATCATTGCTTTATTATTATCATAATTGTTAGGCTATTATAAATAAATATTTGCAGGAATTATAGTATAAATATACTATATTAATAATATATAATTATAGTATAGTAAATATTAACACATAATGTACACTGATTACTACGTTGACACTTGACACCTCTTCTTTAACGGCTTTTTAAAAATTATTTAACAGCTATGCGTGGGCCGTGCGGTCGAGATAAACATCATCATGCTTTGTGCGCGGTGGCTTCTGGGAAAAACATATATGGAAGTTTAACTTCCGTCAACTTCAGTCACGTTTGTCTGCAGGCCGCAGCTGGACCCTTCTCACTTTGAGCGCACAATTAAGCTATTTGTCAAAAATATTTGGCGAACTATGCGGGTAATCAACATTGTAAGGAAATGAAATATAAAATATTATAGAAATGTCAAATACACTGGAGGGGGCTTTAATTTCCTGCATTCTGGTGAAATTTTTCTTAAAAATTTCTTCTTTTCTTGCATCAATTTATGGCGGAAATGTTTTTATTCATGTAAAAGGTAAACAAAACTTGGGTGGCAGGTGACAATTGAAAACCTTAAAATAAAAGACGCAAAACTTGGCCAAAAAGAAAATGTAGAGTAAAGAAAAAAAGTAAAGAAGTAGCACGTTTTGGGGTCATTTTATAATCAGTAGCGCTTCTTTTTTTAGCTTAAGTTAAATAAATAAGGTCAAATTAACCTTTCTCAAAGCATTTTCATTTGTTATTTATCATTTCTTGTTGCATTTTTAACAAATGCTTTCAAAAAGTGGTGAGGACAAAATCAGACATTTTAAAAAGTGCTGGGGACATCACCCAGGGTTAAACAACACAGATGCTTCTTAAACACTACTTACTACTACTTACTACTCAGCTTGTACCAGCTGTATAATATTCTCTGTGGCTGTGAAGGGAGCTTTTGACAGTCCATGACAATAAACCTGCTAATGTCATCAGGGTTGAATTTGGTTTGAGTTCAAGACTTTTAAACATTTCTCAACAGCAAGCCTGAATAAAAAAATTGGGTGTGCGTAGTTTTAAGGACATGGAGCTTTACCAGTCAGGAAGGGTTGGATAAAAACACTTGTGTTGCATCATGGGAAGTATATGCTTGAGCATTTCTGGAGATTGACTCCTGGTACGGACTAAATATCAGGATCTCTCAGCCTCTGCTGCTTCAATTTTGACAGTTTTTCCTTTAACGTGTCTCTTCCAAGTCTACCCCACTTAATAGAAATGCAATTCTAAATGGCTGGAGTACTCCATTAATAAAAACAAAACAATCATTAGTGGCAGCACTAAAATATATGCTGAAAAATTGTTGTGATCATAAAAGTAAGGAAATATATATATAAAAAAAACCTCTGCTGGTCTTCATGTAGTGAATTACACTGGAGAGATGGAACGTACCACTCTAACAGGGGAGGTGGAATAGTCAAAGTGGTGCCAGCCTTTCTAACAGGTTAATAGCCTCAATGACCTGCACTGGTGTCAGTCCAGTAATGTGTGGTGACAGCTTTGTGACAGCAGGAACAGTGATTGGACCAGTGAAGGAGAACTGATGGTATGAAGAAATCTCTTCAAGATGACAAATCGCCCCACATCAAGCACCATCTTCGGGGAAACCTACACCCAAAAATTGATTTCTCTTTCTCCCTTTAATGAGACTGCCTCTCATGATTCATGTTCGCCCATATGCAGGAATTTAATTAGAATAATTCCCATGGCTCACAGTTGTGGGAGACACATTTCTAATCAAACTCTTCACCAACGCGCTATTGACAACTCTATCATGCCGGTTGACCTGAAGGAAGAGAAGCATTAGCAAATTAATAATTCACCTCTGCATTTTTTGAAACCTGCAGTCAGCTCGTACATCTCAGAGCAAAGACACGACATATGAAGTTCCTCCCCTGCGTGGATTGCGTTTGTATTATCATCCAATTTAATAGGCGATTGAACCTGAGGCTCAATTTAATGACTATCCTTCCTCTCATTATACCGAGCCAGAAGGAACATTAACAAACATTAGCACTTGAATACTGGGAATATGGGACAACACCTGAAACAGTAGTAAACATGACATGCCTAACAGAGAAAAATGCCCCTTAAACATTTTTAATAGGAGTTTTGGAAAAGAAAAAATGTTGGCATAAGAGGCATTTGTAACTATTAGCCTTCTGACTGTACACACGACATGTTGGTAGTTAACAGTATACTGTGACTTAAGTTTTAATCAGGCTTGACCTGGTCTTGTTCATTGCAGTGGTGACTTGCTTATTCAAACCTACGAGGCAGGTGTCATCCTAAAGTTTCTTGAAGGTTTTCAATACCGCAAAAACACTATTAATATTTTAAATAAAAAATGTTGTTGCATTGTTATTGGATATGAACAATGAAAAAAAAGTTATGAATGTATGGAAAATAAAGATTTTTAGCTTGATGCACTCATCTACCAAAATCTATCTGAATATTTTAAATACTTATCATGACAAATATTAATATATGTGATTTGTTTCGATTAATTCATTACAAAACTACAAACAAGTTACAAATCTTGTAATTAATTAGATGAATTTTTTTAATTGCTCGACAGCCATATTTATTATATGTCTATTACTATTATCAACAAGGTCAAACTCCAATTAAAATCTAACTATCAGTGCATAAATTAAAAATAAATGACATGTACATTAACAAACGCTGCTGGCACACTGGATGTCTTCATCTTTGTATATTGGAACTCATCAAAGAAAAGGTTGCTGACCCATGGTAAATACTGATAACATTGTGGTCTCTAAAGCTGATGATACACGGAGCAACTTTTAGAGCAATGGTGCTGGGCAATGTTGCTGTCAATGGTAATGAGTAACGATTACTTTCATAATCCCCTTCTCCCGCCACTCTCCCCGCACCGCTGCTATCCGTTCAAAACATAGTCGGACTTGCCACCAGCAAGATTGCCCAGCAACATTGCTCAAAAAGTTGCCCCCGTGTATCATCAGCTTTAGTTACTGCTTCTTGGTCAGTTCAAACAAAATGACGGTCGATGTTACTTAATCTCAACGGCAGACAAATAAGGAAACAATTTCACTGCGGTCAACCATGCTCAATTTGTTTCTAGTTAGGAAATGGATGGATATCTTCAGGTTTTTTTAATGTGGCTGCAAGCTTTTACAGAGGAGAGGACAAAATAACACAAAGACAAAACATCTTGTGTAATATTTAAAGGAAAACGCATTTAGTTTGAATGTATATGTAAGTATGTTGTCTAGACATTTAATAGGATGTAAAACTAACACATTATTTTCTATTACTGTATGTATTTGACATATTTTGTCTTATTTGCATTTTTCCTACAGGAATTTCCACTACAGCAGACTGTAGCTATGCGTAAACTTAAACGTAACTTAGTTTGAACTTAGTGGGGGAGTTGTGAAGATAATGTTAAACAAGTGAAGTGGATATCTTCCAAAGTTACTGTCTTTCTAGTATTCCCTGTTTGTGTTTTCACAGTCTTTCTGTGCCGAGCTGCAGCGCAGGAACAGTTAACACAAAAAGGGAATTTCATACTCAGAAGACTAATTCTGGAAGCTACTCACTTGATAGCTCCAACTGTTAGTCTGACAAAGTTAAAGCCTCATTAACTTGAGATAAACTTTCTGTATTCATTTTCTGTGAATGTATTTTTGCAGCACATTAAGTTGGGATGTTTTGCTGGCCAGTATGAACTGGAAGAATTATTACAGCTAGCAAATGCCTGTTTGTGTTCACAAGGGCACCTGCCTATTGTTTCAAGACATACTTTAAAAAATTGCGACCCTATTGTTTAAGTGTTTCCGTGGCAGAACAGTTCTAAAAATGGTACTTAGTACATCCCTTTACATTTCTGATGACACTGACATGCACCAAGTTGCTTGTTGTGCTATACAGTGACCGTTACCATGGCACCGCTTGCTTGTTGATTCCTTTCGATGAAGTTTCTTATAATTTATGACCATATTTATGCATGATATAGTGATCCTCACTAAAAAACACATAGAAGTACCAAAGAAATGGGTGAAAAGTGATTGTTGAAGCATCACATTTTATCATGTCAGCTAGTATTCAGCTTATGATCATATATAATAAAAAAAAACTGACATGATTAATCAATTATCAAAATATTGTTCTAATGGACTAATAGATTAATCAACTAATTATTTTAACACTAAAGACATACTATAGCCAATAGGTCTGGGCCGATAGACGATGCCATTGTCCATCGGCGATGGCTGACAGACATCACGACATTGAGCCGGCATCGTGATTGTAAAACCCCTGCACCCCCATCAAAAAAACCCCTTAAATTTTCATATTATACCACCCTGTGAAAGCAGGTTTTAATGACAACGAACATTCTTATTATTGTTTTTAAGTGTGCTTTGCACCTGCCTCGGAATTGTCTTATCCCCACATTCACACACACCTACACCTCAGGTAAACATCCCACACTGATTTATCAGCTTTATGTGGCACTGCTGTGAGTTGTTTTTTGTCAATATAAACTGTCTATGAGGGTTTTTGACTCTAATGCAGAACAAACTTTGAAGGACACAAGAATTTCCTACACACAAAGGATAGCAGATAGTGCTTCAAATGATTGCATTGTTGTACACTAATAAAAGCTAAATGAATGGAACTCAAACTATAATTTTACTGAACTTCAAACTTGAAAGCTGCATTATTAACTTTTTGGGAGGGAAATTAGAAATTAAAAAGTCGATTATACTGAATGTTAAAAAAGAATGTATTAAGCTCCCTGGGAGGAAAATGGGAACAGCAGAAAACTGATTGAAGTTAGAAATTGTCAATCTCACTGTGGTAGGCCCTCCCCCACAGTGTTGATATTATAAAGATGCAGCAAAAATAGCTCTTCTGGGATATCTGATGAGCTTAGAAATACATTTTAAACTAGTTCAGATCATTGAGTCATTTTCTCGACCCAAAACTACACAATACAACTTTCACATTCTGTCCTTTTGTTTATTGATGATGTATTTCCTCAATATCTGTCCTGCGTTGGAACTCATCTTGAACTAATTTCTTTTTTTTTATTAAAATGCAAATTAGAGTGTGTTCACTTTCAAACACAGACAGTAACCCAGAATTGAACTTTCATATAAAAACGCATCAAGGAAACACGGTAGATTCTCCTTGCTTTACTCTCAGGAAACCCAGCAGACAAAAATGTGTGTTTTCTGTCAAACTAACCTGCATTGCATGTGTGTTTTGCAGGTTCTGTAGTCCTTCCTTCAGATTCTGGACTTGGTTCTTCAGCTGCTGTTTGTCCTCCAAACTCTTCTCCAGTTCTGCCTCCCGCTGTTTTAATTCTTCCCTCATTTTTAACAGTTGCTGCAAAAATAAAAGGAAGAACAATAAGCCACTAATGCTACTGTGAACAAACTAACCGTGACAATACTAAACTGGTAGTCAAACTGCTTTGAAAGAGAAGGAACAATCAGCCATTTGTTTAATTAATATCTAGCATGTAATCCCTACACCGGTAATTAGAGCATAATACAAAAAAAATCTGCATAATACAAAAAATTAATTAGACACTGACGTGGATTATATCTCCAATAAATATTTTCTAGAGAGAAAACAATTGTTGTATTATAATCTGTCTTATTATGTTCTGTCCAAGAGGAGTAATTTGCCAAATCCATTGCTTGTAAACACTCAAAAATTATAAATTGCATATGGAAGAAACACTCATTTGGGTGACACAAGAACGGGTGTTTGAGGAAACTCTGAAAGCTAACAACTATATTTATCTCCAATGTGTCCTCTTAAGTTATCTGGTAAACACAGATGAAAAGATTCACCTCCTGCAGTGTTAATTGCAACAAAAAGAGGGTCCGTGAGGCGCAAGGTGTTTATAGCCTGGAATTTTCCTCTGTAAAGCTACACATTAATTGCTTTTCTGTTACATGCACTATAATTCACAAAGGACGAAACAGGTGGCCATTACATGCTGGTAGTATTTCACTGAAATTTGTCTGTCTGCGTGATACAACATGTGGACCCTGGCAAGGAGAGGTATCCAATTTCAGTGTCTTCCAATTCATTTAATTCATTCACCTAATCTTTCCACAAACACATCATGAGAGTCGTAAGCTAGAAAGGTAATTACTCTCTGCAAGTAGAAATGAACAGCAGGGCTTTAATGGATTCTCCTCTTTTAAAACATGAATCCATCATAATTTCCATTACCTGTGACAGCTAGCTAAGTGAGGACACTTGACAAATGCCACAGTAAGTCAATTTAGTAGTACTTTAGAATTTTAAAAGGTAGATTGAAGAGTTTCTGACATTACAGGTGTTGTTCTTTTCAAAGTGGAAATGTTGTTCATCCTGTCACCTAAAGATATAGTAGAACGTCACCAAAATCACATGATCTTCAGCAGCAGTTCATCATCTGCGTTTACCAAGTAGACAGGGTTGATGTTTGAAAATCCATTATTTCCTTCCCCCCCATCCTGAGCACTTCAAGGAATTATCGTCCAGGCTGGATTGTTTTTCTCTATGTCTGAAGATCATGTGATATTAATGAAAGCGCCAGCTGCTTCTGGACGTTTGTGGTGAGACTGATTCCCAAGTGCTGCTTCCCAGGTAAAGAAGAAGTAGATTAAAAGACAAACTGAGTTTACAGAATATTTACAGTTTTTACTTTACTTGTCAATTAAAATGTTTCTTCTATTGTTTTAGTTCATACTTTCTAATATTTCAGACATTGAATGTGTGTCTGTCTTGACAAATGTTGGACTATAAGTCAAATATTGATTGTATTTTATAAATATATAAAACAAAGTCCAAAAACAGTTAGACTGAAGATGACAACATTCAGAATAAAGTATACTACGGTATATGGTATTCAAGGCACATGTTCATTCATTTTCTTTGAGTAACTGGTCTGAAATTATTTTAATAGCCTTGGGTTTGTTCCAAGAAGTTTCTGTGCACTGTTTGAATCATAGCACACAACCTTCCAATCCCAAGTAAAACCAATTCCCACTGCGAATAAGCTTTCCTTTAACCAGAGTAAACCTGCAATGTACATTTTTAGCAGCTCTTCAGAAAAGACTAACAGCGGCTCCAGACAGCTTTACTTTCCCACTTGTTCCCACATAGCACTCTTCAAAAGTGCTGTGTCAGTCGAGTTTTTAATCTTATATGAGAAATTAACCTGAGCGACCTTGTTCTGAAAAATAAATAAATAAATAATGGAAATAAAAAAAGAACCTGGTGCAGAACAGTAACGAGTAGGAGATTAAACTTATTGTTGGACAGATGATTGGAAAAAACGTGTCTGCATGCTTCTGTGTGTGCAACAAGTGCTACCTTCTGCATGCCCTGCAGAGCCTGCTGCAGGAAGCTGAGCTGCTGGGAGTGAGTGTTGTCCTCCTCACTCCTGATTGGTTGGTTCTTGCCTTGTTCCTGTTTGAGCAGCTCCACCTCGTTCCTGTAGGCGTCCAGCTGGCAGCGCAGGGAGTCATTCTCCTCCTTTAAGGCTTCTGCTTGGGAAACACCTACAGATTTAGACATGAAGTGTTGAGAACCATATGGAAGATGATGTTTATTGTGTAGAACACTGTTGTTCAATTTACACCTTATCACAACAAATTATCATCCAGCTGAGTCTCAGTTTCACAGTGAGGCCTTTGATCTGGAGTGCTCACGTTATCCCTGATCTGTCTCTTTTGTGGGAACATACATTTCAACACAAAATATCAAAAGCTTTTACACAGCGACATTTCCAATCGTGATCGGATTGCTCATTGATCATTTGAATGAGAGCAGGCACAGAAATAGTGAGCATCTTAAAATTCAAAGCACAAAGGCAAAAGAGTAGAGCTCAGTTTTACTTTATGCAAATGTCAGGCATCTTGAAACACAAAATGGCAAATGTCCTATTGATGGATGTTGATAAATATATCTCTACCTGTTCCTGCAGGGAAAAGACCTTGGATGTGTCTATAAACAAGGTAGCATTAAAAACATGGCTTCAAATATTTCGCTTCACTATAGCAGCGAACATATATTAAAAAATCCTTAGGTGTTATTTATTAAGAGTTACCAGAAACATATCTAATCAGCATCATCAGGACTATGTAGGTCTGGTTTGATTTGATTGATAAAGTTGCGAAGTGTGAAGAGCCATTTTAGGCTATAAAACCCCAATTTCATTTTTTGAATAGAAAATGTTACGTGACTCACAGTTGGAGCACCTCTACGGCTTGGATCGGCATGAAATGCTCTCGGGTTGAGTTATCAGCACAAAAGACAAACAACTGCGTTAGAAAAGACCTGATTCAAAATATACAGAAAACCTTTGGGAGAATTTAACGACGACACCCAAGTGGCAATTTGGTAAGAAACATCTAATCACCAAGCTAAAAATTCTGCGATGTGTGCTGCTAATACTGTGTGAAAGCCAAAGTGTACGGTCACTAGCACCACCTCTAAAGTGCGCTCTGTCACAGCACTGCTCTTCTTCACAAATAAAATCCAAGATTTCATCCAGCCTAAAATGGTAAGTCTAATGGATTTCCGTATTTACTGTGTGATTTGGTAGCTAATAATGGTTTATGTTCGCCCTTTAATACAATGTGCACATACCACCAATGCCATGCGTTTGAAATAATTAATTATTTTATCATAAATTGTTTATTAATTATTTTCGGCGGGCGGCACATTTCATGTGCTCCGGCACCTAATGATGATATTTGGATATTCCTTTTATGTCAGATAACAGAACACCTACACACTAATAACTAATCTAAACACAGACTACTGACCGCTGTGATAATCCCGGTGTTTTGTCCAGTAGCTCTCCACTGGACATTTGACCTGACCTACTGAGCAAACAGAGGAGTTACAGTGGGAGTTATTACTACATGAGACCTGCCCAACTCCAAAGATGTCCAGTATTATCAGCTCTGCTCTCCTTCTGTGGGCCTTGAGGGGAAGCGCTTTGAGAAAGAGCAATACACTGACTGGACTGGGGAGATAAGCCCCATCCTGTGTGAGCGTGTGTGTAAGTGTGTGCATGAATGTCTCTAGTTAGGTTTTGTGTGGGTGTTCATGAGTGCTGCCTGCAGTCTATCATGGAGGACCATTGGCAGTGTTAATGAACTCTTGCTGGGTGAATGTATGTGCGGCCATGCTGTGTTTGCGTGTACTTTTCTCCCAGCAAAATAAAGGTTTGAGGTGAGAAGAGTATTGATCTGAGAGCCTCATCAACTTGGTGTGAGGAGATGTCAACTGCTTGGCCAGATTCTGAGCAATTCCCCTTCTGTTACATAACAGGCAGCGCTATCGACCTGCAGATGTCCATGAGCGTGCATGTACACACACACCTACAGTCATGCACACAAGCAGTTCTTGCTTTCTATTCTGTACATGAGTCAGACGCAGAGCATCGATTCGCATTTTAAGAGGCTGCAGTCATAACACAGGTGTTTTCAGCGGGGCTGGTTGACGTGTAAATATGGGCCTTTGCTTAAAAGGCTAGTGAGTAAAGGGGGTGTAACAGTCAGCTTGTTAACACAAATACCAAGAAGTGTCACATTAACACCTGTCACCTCAGCCAATCCTGTAGTATCAGGTCTTTGACAGCAATGCTAATTACTGATAGCTAAATAGCAAGATTGCAAAAGAGAAGGGGCTAGGCTGATGGTTTCATTTGCATACATTTGCATGCTGATTAGAGAAGCTGTCATAAAAGCAAATGGCAGAGATCAGAATTATTACAAGGCGAGAGGAAAGAATACATGAAGAGAGCATAACAACATGCAGAGATGCACAAAACACAAGTCGAGAGATGTGGTGGTTATGGCGTGTTGCCCTGGTGACCACTCCAGACTTATGGGTTATTTTATTGGGGGTTGAGAGATTGGCAGCGCGGTTAGTTTTTGTTGCTTCAGCAAACACAAAGAGACTCCTTTGAGGGAAGATTATGGCACTTCAGTGATACCCCGGTCTGAAATGAGATGGCAGCTGGCAGGTGTGGACAGATTCCCTCACACACACACACACACTCATATGGAGTTGTGTACATACACCAGGGTGCACTGGGGTGGATGTCTTTTAGTCGTTGTGTTCAACATCAACTCAGTAAAGCGCAAGTGGTGTCAGCATCTTGATGTACTTAAAATGTGTTTTTTTATTCATGGGGAGTTGTCAGATGGTTATCGCATGCTTGGGGATGATTACTGTCATTTCAGTCCAACACAGCTGTCTCTGTCACTTTTTCAAAGTTCTTTGTGCCCAACCTCTGGAGACATCGATCAGCGTATGGCCTGTCATGTTGACAGAAGTGTTGAACTGTGAATGTGCATGCAAATGCTGCATATGCATACCTGAGTCCTCAGAGTCCTTGCTGTCAGGGACGTCCTCCATGTCATCATCAGACATCTCCATCTCCTCCTCTCGCCTGATGCCCATCAGCTGCTCGCTGTGCATGTTTCTAATCTCCTGCAAAACACAACCAAAAAGAGTGGTGGGTAAGAACTGCAAAGACTCATGGGTGATGCACGTTTTAGCAGGTGCTAGTATGAGTAGGGTCATCAGTGGAGGCCCTTCTTTGATTTCATTGGTAATGTTATGCATTTGCTGTAAGAAATACATGTAACAGATCAGTACAGAACAAAGGAGTGTAGATGAATAAAGATGAAAAGGATTGGTCTCAGAGATGGGGTACTTCCTCTGGCACAGCGATGGGGCAGATGGTAGCACAAATAGCCAGACTTCACTTTTGTTTACTTTGAGAAAAACACCACATTCAGGCAAATCCATGATAAGTATATGACCAGAGCTCCTGTCAAAAATGTCAAAAGCACTACTACTTCAGAAGACAGTGATTTAGGTCGAAAGAAGCATGAAATGTGTCTCAGTGCATTTACTGTATAACATGTCTTCTGTTGGTTTTTACACCCATTTTGTAATGCACAGCTGGATACCCACTGTACAAAAGGAATCTGTTTCATTTCACCCTTACAGACAGAAGTGCTAATGACTAAATCCATCTAGAGACCAGTAACCAGAGGCAGATGTTAAAACGGTTTAAAGATTAAGGTCTACCAAGTGAATTTGATTAGCTAGTAAATGAGAACAAACCATCAAGGTGTGTATAGAGAGAAAAGCAAAACGAACAAAAATCCTCATGATACATTACACACAGACAGTCCATGCTTAGACAAACAACATACCGTCTATGATAATCTGTGCCTGCATGGGTTTTTAAACACCATTGAGCTGTTGTGAGTAGATGTTTGAGCTACAGTAGTACACAGTGTATTTTCTAAAAATATGTTGACAGCTAATGGTGCAGGAGAACAGAGAGCACAGCTAACTATGCCGTAAAGAGACACAAACTGATAACCTCTTTCCACTCAGGGTTTAAGGTCACACAAAAATGTCCACGCAACACAATTAGACCATCGACATTGCGGTCAGTGTCAGACATGCACGTAACCGTGAGGGCGTGCGAGTAAAATAAATTGATTTTTTTTCGTTTTATTAGAACAAAATCTTTTAAATATTTAATATGTTTTTAAGTATTTAAGAAGTCATGCTCTGAAAGGCTGATGCCTAAAATTTACATTAATTAGAGGTGATATTTATCTAAAGGAAAATTCTGTCACTATACCAGTTTAGAAAGAGATGAGCAATAACACTGAATTATTGCCCGGTTCTGGTTCAAAAAAGTGACTGACATGAGGAAGTCTTCTCCTTTTACAATTTAAACAAGCTTGTACTGAAACACACATGTATACCAGTGGATAGAGCCATGCTTGTTCTGTCAATGACAAATTCACACAAAAGGCTGAAAAAACACTCGTACAAAAGCTAATGGGGAAAAAAAGCTGCCCAAAAGTAAATAAACTTCGGACCATCTGTCAGCTGACGTTATTAGCCTGAGCCAATGGCAGAGGTCAAACAGGTACTCTACACACACAAGCACATGCAGACATGTAACCATCTGGTGTGTATGGAGCACACTGTGCACACACACATCTACTGCATATGCGCAAGTACATACACACACCACATTAAAACACTGATAGAGGGAGGCAGCTGTTGTCCGATTCTGCCTGGGAGCTGGAGCTCCTCAACACCGCTTCTCGTTCCTCTATATTTCACCTCCAGGCCAGAGAATCATACTGAATATACAATGACTGAGTGTGAAACTGGCTGCCTATTTGATGATAAACTAGCCCTGAGCAACTGCACTTACTTACCTATGCTCTTTACACTGGCCAGAAGCTGCTAGTCCTATACATGGCAGCCTCTAAGGCAGGCATGTATGATCAATGTGAAAATAAACCTGCACTAAGCCCTATTTCTGACGTTGAATCAAATCACTCCATGTGATGTAAAATAATTAGCAGTTGTGCTGAAAGTTACTGAGAACTAGCACCTAGCTCTACAGCCTTTTGACACTTTTATCCTATTATTTTAGCTCTCCGACCTTCACACAGAATGTATGGTTGGATCTCACAGCTCTTATTACACCCACATATATATATATATATATATATATATATATATATATATATATATATATATATATATATATATATATATATATATATATATATATATATATATATATATATATATATATATATATATATATATATATATATATATGTAAGAGTCCCAAATATCTACTCAGTAGTTGATGAGCATGAACCAAAAGCTAAAAGCTCGACTGAATATTGGACGTCTTCATTAAGTGGCCAGAAACATGAATCAGATGGGAAGCTCATATTCTTCTGTGACTGTTGTGTGTGTAAGGCAACAGGTTAGCCGTAAAAACTTAATAAGCCCAAAATATAGCAGGGCTGTGTTTTCTATGGTTTGTTGAACTTCCTAGTAGTTTAAATGTTTAATGAAGCTTTAAACCTGCAAAGATTGATTTTTGTCCACTTAGATGCTGTGGAAACGAGCTGTAAATACAACATGACATATCATTACTTTAAGAAGTTATTAGAGGTTGTTGCTAATTTACACATCCAGCTGTTCCTTTTTTTGGGAGTGTTTTTTGGTCACCTGATGAATTCAAGCCCAATACTTACTCTTTTAGCGCGGTTTTTCCATTTGATCTCTGGGGGGAATATCTTGCTCTTTACCTGCTCAATGCTCCACTATGTTCACCAGCTCATTTTGGTACTGAACATGTAAGGTACATTTGGCTTTTTTTTTGCAGCTAGAAACGATGGTGAGAGACAACCACAACAGGAAAGTTAGAAGCCATAAAATGAAAACGCGCAGCACAGCTGAGGGGAACTACAGAGTCAGGTGACAATTATCTGTAGGTCCATCATTAAGAACACCACAAGTCCTCATTTGACCCATTGTAAAATGGCAGCTGGATGGCATAAAATACTTTTTACTAGGAATAACTAGAACTTCAGTTCCTTTTCAGATTCTTTTAGGATTTAATGTTTTTCCATTTCAGCGTATAATTCACTATTCCCTGAATAAACTTACTTAAACCCTCACAGGCAGCTGCAGAGAGATAGAGACTCAAGTCAGGACAATGCTGAACCAAGAGCTTGGAGGCCAAATGACTTCATCTGTCGGTTAGCCTCAATCTGGGACACACATGATTAACACAGTATTATGTGGTGTCACTATAAAGTCTATTCTCACAGCTCTAATGAATTGTAAAGTAGTTGGAGGAAAAAAAACTACCTAGAATATTTGTAGTGCAAATTCTGCAGTAGTGTCCACCCACTGTGATTTCACTTGCATCTATGGTTATGCTTTTCATTCCTGGTGTATGCAGTGTGTATACACCATCTCTATAAATGAAGTCTGAGATAGACTGGACAGATCCCTGAGGCCTGATACACCACAGTGTGTGTGTGTGTGTGTGTGTGTGTGTGTTTGATATACCCCCCCCTCTCACCCCTTGCAGGGTGGTATGTGTCATCCTCAAGCTCGGGTCCTCTACCAAAGGCCTGGGAGTTTGAGGGTTCTGCGCAGTATCTTAGCTGTTACTAGGATTCTTCTGGACTGAGGCCTCTGATGTTTTACCTGGAATCTGCTGTAGCCACTTTCTCAGTTTGGGGGTCACAGCCCCCAGTGCTCCGATTACCACTGGCACCACTGTTGCTCTTACTTTCCACATCTTTTCTAGCTCCTCTTTCAGACCTTGGTATTTCTCAAGCTTCTCGTGTTCCTTCTTCTTGATGTTGCTGTCGCTTGGGATTGCCACATCCATCTATCATCTATCTATCAACACGATGTCTGGTTGGTTAGCCATCACCAGGTTCTCAGTCTGGATCTTGAAGTCACACAGGATCTTATCTCGGTCATTCTCAACTACCTTAGGAGGTGTCTTCCATTTGGACCTTGGGACTTCCAGCCCATACTTATGGCAGATGTTCCTGTACACTATGCCAGCTACCTGGTTATGGCGTTTCATGTACACTGTTCCTGCCTGCATCTTACACCCTGCTGTTATGTGCTGTACTGTCTCAGGGGCATCCTTGCACAGTCTGCACCTGGGGTCCTGCCTAGTGTGGTAGACCCCAGCCTCAATTGATATTGTACTGACTGCTGCCTGTTGTTGTGCCACCATGATTAGTGCTTCTGTGCTGTCCTCCAGTCCAGCCTTTTCCAGTAGGATTTCTTGATATCAGCCACTTCTTTCTTTCTTTCTTTCACACACACACACACACACACACACACACACACACAGAAGAGAGCGCTTCCCAAGTGAGTAGATCCTTCAGAGACCCTCAAGGTCTGAGCGAGGTAAAACAACAATACAAATGTGGTCTTTACTGAAGTCACACAGCCAGGCATGTACTCAAGCATTTGAATATAAAATATGCATCATCCAGCTTTCTACTTAATCATCAGGTGTGTGTTAAAAAAAATCCACACAAGCTATTTTAAGCATGATAAGTTCGAATGACTCTGCAGCAAATCTAAACATTAGAAGAAAAATTTTATTTTGCAACACCTACCTTTAAAAGCTTCTGCTGTGTGAGAGTCTGAATAAAGACTCCAAATGACACCTTCATTCAGTTGTTTTTTTTTTTTAAATCCAGATGTTACAAAAAAACTTACCAATCAGATATGATCATATATGGTCCATTAGACCCAGGACTGCACCAAACTCCAGACCCTCCATTACATACAACCTATCATCATGCTAACTAGTGCTCCATTTGGCAGAAAAAATTGTGAGCAGATAGTGGATGACAAAAATGCTATTAGATTTGAAAATGAATACACATCATGTTTCAAGACGTTGCTCCTTAATTATCCACTCAAACATAAATCTTAGGAGATAGAAAACTCACCCCAGCAGCTTGTATCCAATTCAGGAGGGAGAGCAGTAGTGGAGGGAGGGGAGGAGGTAGGGGCAGAGGTTTGGACCTGGGTGTGTCTGTATCTCACACTGACTGGAGTGAGCAGGCACCTGTTCTGTAAGCTAGCTTAAATCAAAGTACTTACTGTAATAAGGAGCCTGCTTTTTTGACTTCTGATTCAACCTATTTTTATATCACTTGTTTAAATTTGAGTATAATTATGTAGCATTTTAACTATAACTTTAGAAAACAACAACTTTACAATGAGTAAAGAGGGAGACGGGTGTTGAACAAAATGGGATAAAGCCTAATTTTTTTATAAATCATGTGAACAACAGAATGAAATCAAAGTGTACTAACCTCTGCTTGTTTGCGCCACATGTCCAGGTTCTTGCGCTGAGCTTTGGAGAAATGGTCCCATGCCTTTTGTTTGGAAGCAGCTTGGAATACAGACACAATCTGTTCAACTGTGCCGGGATGCAGGGAAGGACCAGAGGCCATCCAGAGACAGAGAGAGAAAGAAAGACAGAGGGCAGGTGGGAAGGAGCAGAGGAGTGAGAAAGTGGAGTCAACTAGGGATGTAAAGAACTGTGTGAGCATTTGTGTTTGTGTGCATGTGTCTGTGTGTGTGCAAGCGTGTGATTTACTTACCAGCTGATGCCAGTGCATCATCTCGTGGATGGTTGGTCAGATAATTCCCATACGCAAAACTTAAATAAATCACACATTTTCCCAACAGATTTGAATTATATATGATACACTAGTTCCTAAAGCCCTTTAAAACTGCGGCTCTGCTAATATCGACTTGATTTTTCTGGCCATGGCTCTACAAAAGGGATGTCTACTTTGGTCCAGACTGAAACATCTCAACCATGAAACCTTGTTCAGACATAAATGGTCCTCAGAGGGTGCATCCTACTGAAGTAGTGATCCTGTGACTTTTAGAGAACCATCATTTCATCTGTCAAAAATGTAGTTGTATGACCAAATATCTGCTAAACTAATGACATTCCCATCAGCCTCAACTGTACGTTGTGTAACAAACCAGCATACCACCAGTTAGCATACCAACATGTGCTGTGCCTACAGTTAGTACAGGCTCACAGAGCTGCTAGCATTATAGACTTTGTCTCTGTTTAATATTTGTTTAACAAGGGACATTTTGCTAAGCAACTGGCAGCTGCCAAAAATAACCTAATTGAAGTGTGCCACTATTGACCACTGTGCAGCTCCACTACAGAAATGAGCTGTTAGGAATCTTGCCCAAGGACACCTTGTTAAAACAGCACAATATTCCTGATGTACTTTCCCTATGCAGATTTCTCTCTTCTTTTAAAAAGGAACAGCAGTAAGCTGTAAGCCTCTGTAGTTAACCCTTCAGTACAGTTGTAGCTGCAAAATATAGAAACTTAACACCGGACTGAGCACAGCAGGCTTTTTCAAGGAGTCTTATCTTGACCAGATCTTTAACTCAGAGGTTTCCTACAAGTGATGTGTATGATGACAGATGCTGTCTGTTGGTCTGTATAGCCTGTGTCAGATTCTGTCTTAGCTGCAGTGTATTGATATAGTAATTCCCCTCACAGCTATCTATCCATTGCCATGTGGGTGGTCATGGAGGAGTGTATGGGTGGTCTGTGTATCCCAGAGGTCCTAATATACACAGGGGGAAGTCAATATGACCACCAGATAAGTGTGTATGTGCTTGCAGAGCAGTGTAAGAGAGAACAGGCATCAATAGCATCTTCCTAGCATCCTGTAATTTGATGGAGCAGATCGATGGTGAAGTCAGAGAAGAGAGGAAAGGGTACAGACAGACTTTCAGGCCTCTGAGCTTATATGCAAGCATATATACAGACGGGTGACAAATTAAAAACCAACATGAAGTGTGTTAATATGACGTCAGGCAACTACGAGCCTCCAGAACAGCTTCAGTGCTCCTTGGCAAGTCTATTGGAGGGATGAACACCACACTATATTTCCTCATTATATACATACACAAATATTATTTAATAAGGTAATTTAATTGAGATCAAGATCTCTTCTGCAAGAGAGACATCACAAAAGTCTGGTCAAAATTTGGTCTTGGTGGTGGAGAGCACCAAGTCTTACACATTGGTCCAAACATTTTCCACAGGTATAAAACTGGGTTGAGATCTGGTGAGTGTAAATGCCGTAGCGTTTTATTCATGTAATTTTCATACTCGTGCACAGAAGCATCTGCATTTGATGTTTCACCACCCTTTTATTAAGGTCTCCCTTTAATTAGTCCCCTGTCTGTATAGATATATATATATATATATTTTTCAATGCTATGAATACCAAAAATGAAATTCTCTGCACTTTCACTGTTTTAGTGCTGTAGGAGAAGACTGAGAAGCCAATATCTTAAAACCTGGGCACATAAAATGAAACTATCTGCATGGCTAGACACCACTAGGGATTAAGTGACAATAACTTTTTTTGTTACTTGGGTGACCTGACCTTTAACGTGACAACAGAGACACATCTATGTAGATGGCAACTAAAAGTGTAGAAAGGCTGAATTATTTGGTATGGCAAGAGAGTTGTGAAACTTGTAAAACCTCCTAACAGGACAAAATTCTGTGTGTTATCATTAATATGACATGCAGCACACCAAGAGGAAGGCAAAGTATTGAATAGCAATGTGTTTGTATGGGCTGAAATGACCTAACACACACAAAAAAAAACTAATAATGGGAACTCCACTTTGTGTTGAAGGATGTTTACCTTGTATTTAACATGCATATGGCGGGATATGTGGAGACTAAGTGCCGCAGGCAACCAGCAGCTGCACAGACAAAGCTGTCAAAAGTGCGTAGCAGCAGTACACTTTGCCTTTGGCCTTTCATCAGCTGAGATGAGCAATGCATTTGTTTACTGTATGTGTTTGGCCTCCACTGTATTCATGCAATGTGAATGCAATGGGCTGCTTACTATTTTTATCTGAAAGCAACCTGAATAATATTCCACCGCAGTCACTGCTTCAATGTTTCAGATATTTGTATATCGGAAGAAATAAAAAATGAGCTGGGCACTGAATTCCTGTTAGGAAAGAAATTAAACTTACCTTTTAGGCATCCTCCAAAAAACATACTAGCATTAAACTAGATGGATTCTATGATGCTATTAAAATCTTAATGTCCACAATACTGTGCACACATGCTCTGTGCATCGTGTGAGAGTAAATGAGGGGGTGTGAACAATATTATACTTACATATTTACTGCATTGAATTCTTCAGGCACAAAAAGTCTTGACTGGGATTTTGTCTTCGATTGTCTGGCTGTATACTGCCCTCCACCCTACAGTCTGTCTATGTTGTGTGTGTAATCCTATGATAAGGAAACTTACACTGAACCAGAAACTTGGCCAAGCACGGATTGGACTCATTCTTATCCTCCTCCTCTACACATACTGCACAACAAGGAGTATAATAAATGTATTCTAGTAAACCTTTAATGAGTAACTATCTCACTCACTGTGAGTGACTCTGAACTTATTTGGTCTTCATACAAAAATGATTATACACCGCTGTACACTTACACTTGTATTAATACAGTTTAATAATGTATTAAACTGAATTATACATCCAAATCTGTAGTGTGTGTGATTGAGAACACAAGACTCACATTGAGCCACTATGCCGGCCAGAGCGGTCTTGAACTTGTCTTTGGCCTCTTCCATCTCCTTCTCATGCTGACTCTTCTCGCCTGTAAGCCGGCGGATGTGGCCGTTGGAGGATTGGATCATAGAGTAGAAGTTGTTGGCGTTCCTGCGGTTGACTTCGCCTCGTTCCAGCCACGTCAAGAGCACACGCACCGCTTCAGCAAACTTACCGTCGTCTGGCAAAAAGGTGAATACACAGAGAAGGGAACTGTCAAATTCTATACATGAAGTAAATTATTCCCGTACAGTCCCAAGACACTTGGTGAAAGCAACAGCTGGCGAGCCAAAAGAGATTTCACAACAATGTAAAAGTGAACATAATAATAAACATGTGAAAGAACTGCTTTCTAGTAGATTACAGGCATGTAGAGTAGTATGAAAAGCAAACATGGGTAACTCATTTTGTGAAAAGTAGACCAAGTAAAGTCAAGGTTAATGTGTCAAGGTGAAACTGAAAGAAAGATGAAAAATAGCACCACAGTAAACTGAGGAGAACCAAAAGACATCTGCGCTATTGAAAGGATTGTCCCCTCACTGTCTGTCATATATACAGAAGTGTACATATGACAGACTGTCATACACTTGGTAACAAAGAACAACTTCACAGACCTTCATGACATGAAACCTGTGGGACATGGCGAAAGAAGTTAAAAGAAGGGATGAACCCCACTTAGAGGCGGGTCTAGGTAAAGAGCTCCTCTGTGAGCTTCTTGTCATCAAAAAGACAAATTTGTTTGGAATACAGGAATACAATTGGCACTGAAAAGAGCTAAACCCATTTCCCCCTCTGGGTAGAAGATTCAGAAAAGAATAAACCTAAACCTGCAGCAAATAGCCCGGGATGTGTGTTTTCACAACAGCAGCCCAAAGTGATCAGAAACAAATCCTTGGCTACAACAGTTCTTTACACCAGGGCCAGGGAAGGCAGAGCTGAAAAAGACACGCAGATGGTAGAGAGGCAGAAAGTCACAGCCACTTTGTTATCAGGCAACTGTGACTGAGACCAGGAAGTGTCATTGCTCATTAGCGAAACATGTTTATTCAGCCAGAAACTCGACGGAAAGCTGAGAAGAGGGGAAAAGGAGAGCGAAGAAGAGAAAATCGAAAGCATGAGCAGAGAAGAACAGAGAGAGCGGAAAGAGGAGCAGAGGAAAAAGGACAAGATAAGAGAGAGCAGCATGTGCTGAGAGGAGAGTAAACTGATATACTGTTTTTAACAGCCTTTGTGTAACGTCTTCTGAAAACAAATTCCCTGAACATCAGAGAACTGCTTTGTCAGTTTTACCAGCTGCAGTTTAGGCCAATTCCCGTGATGCCTTGGCTTGCATTGGATGAGCACACAAATGGACATGAACACTCACACGCATGCAGATCTACTCTTTAACCTTATTCCCTACCTTTGTTGTTTGCAAAAAGAACAGTAGTGCTTTGACTGGATCCCATTTTTGCTTGTGTTTGCTAATTATTATTATTGCACATTAACTAGGATTTGTGCTGTATTTGTAAATGCTTTTAGGCTGATTAAAGAAAATACTTTTCAAGGTTTTACTTCTTTACCAAGCTCAGCTTCTTAGTTTGTACTCTCATATCATGACCATATTTTACAGTATATGTTTTTTATTTTGCCATATCTACCAACCTTTGATCTTGTCTCCCAGCTGGCTGCACTCGTGCTCAGAGTAGTGGACGATGGGAGGAGGGGAGGGCGGCCGGAGGCGATCCTCCTCCATCTTGCGCCGGTGCCTCTCCTCTCTGGCCAACATGCGCTGGCGACACTCCCACTCATAGAGGTCGTCTCTGGCCTGGGCGAAGTCCACGTGTAGCCGGCCAGTGTCTTTTTTGTCTGTGCTGGAGCCCAAGCGGACACGATAACCTATGAGAGACAAAGGTGTAAAAATAAAAAAAATTAATAAAAAAGGAAGAGGAGAAGGAGGAAGTGGAAGAAGGAAAAAGCAAATATGATGGAAGAACCAACTGGGTCAGCGGGGAATTCAATAATAAAAATTAAGTCATTTGTTTCCACAAGGTGCTGTGCATTTTGGAGGTAATTTTTTTGCTTTTTAGCTATGCTAGTGGCATCAACAGCATCGATCCATCACTTTGGTCCAGACTTAAATATCTAAACAACTATCTGATGAATTTCCATGACATTTGGTGCACACAGTTGTGTCCACATCTCAGGATGAATGGTAATATTTTGATGATCCCAAACCTTTCGTATTGTGCCGTCATTATGTAAAATAAATGTATTTGTCCAATGTGCTAATTAGCAAATGTTACCATGCAAAAATGGTGAACATGGTAAATATATATGCTCAGCATCCACATGTTAGCACTGTCATTGTGAGCATGTTAGCATACTGAGGTTAGCAGCTGTGATTGTGTTAAGCCTCGAAGAGAAGATGGCTGTAACCCATTAAGTCTTGTTTTTATTTTATATTATATACATATACACACACACACACACACATATGCACACACACACACACACACACACACACACACATATACACATACATACATATATATCAATATCTCAATATTTTACAGAAGACAGCAACAAGAAAATGGGAGAGACAGAGAAGAGGGTGACATGTGACAAAGATCCCTAGTCGGATTCAGACCGGGGAAGTCACGGTTAAGTCGTTTCCACCTAAGACCACTGCAGCATTGTAATGCCTGAATGCTTCAAATTTTTGACAGCTGTCAACTTCATACTCTCCATTCACATCTCACAGTCACTCTTTTATTATACTGCTAATTTTTCAGTGATTTTGCAAATTTTACAATACGACAATAACATCAGTCACATACATAAATGACAATAAAACCTTTTTTTTTGTTTGATGATTAATGCATCTTTTTAATGCAAATGACAAAAATGCCTGAATTAAGAGACTGAAAAGGCACACACAAAAGATTTACTCTGTATGTTGCAGGGTTTCTTTCTGGGCCAGTTGTGAGTCACTTTCCATCACCTTCCACAACGTGAATTTAGACCACTAGATAACAGAGACAAACCCCTGAGCAAGCTCTATATCAGGGTCCACCACCTCTCTCTTCATCCTCTTCATCACCTATTTTGCTTGTTGTATCCCTTCATTTGAGAAGATATATTGTAGCTGTGGGGTTTTGTGGAGTACAGAAGGTCTGAATCCTTTTGTTAATAAACCAGACAGACTTAGGGAGGCCAATTACTTCTCTAGTGGCACTGAAAGACCACAATATCCCTCATTACTTCCTCCTCTCTTCACTACTTCCCTCTTATCCCCTTGCTCTCCTCCTTACTCAATTTTCACTAATGGCTGGTTGCAGATCTTAAGTGAAATCATGGCCATTTGGTGGTTTAATTGGTTGAAATGATCAGAGTGTGTGCTCAGTGTGAGTGTTTGGGTACACATGCGTGTGTGCGCTCCAGCCGTATACAGTAATGATGCCCAGTGTGACTCACTCTGAGGCCCAACACACACTCATCACAGGAGGAGGGGGATAGCAGTAGATGCCAGTGCAAACAGGAAAAGAAATGAGCATTAGTTCGGGGGTTTCTCCTTCAGTCTGCTCTCTCTGCTTCAGGCTCCCAATCTAACACTACTTCAATATTTCATATGAGGAGATCTCAGTGGGCTGGGGGTGCTGGAGTGCGTCACATTGCTGGGTAGTGTGTTTTGCACATGCTGTGCATTTATGTGTATGTGTGTGCGGGGTATTATTTATGGAAAAACTACACTGCTCTGTCATCTGGCTAATGTATGGGCCTCAGCTCCCACATAAGAATAGAGGCAGAAACTTATTCAAATTTACTGTCACACAAATACAGACACCAGCATGTATGGACACACACACAATTAATAATGCTGGGAATGCTATTGAATTGGCAGCTAGGTTAAATTGGGTTTATAAAGTAGGAATATATACGGCCAGCTGTTTGCACACAGAGATTTAAGACATCTGGGCTCTAGAAGCTGCTCTGAAGATAAGATAAAAAAACCATAAGCTGGTGTTACATGGTTAGTAGAAATGCCTTTTATTGACTTGATGGTCATTTTTATCTTCTGTTATCTGAGCTTTTAGTGGAACTCTTATTACTATCAACCACTGTAAGTGTACCAAGTGTCCTTTCTAAAAGTTAACAGAGCAGCAAAGATGGAGAATTAATTTAACTTTGATTCTGAGAAATCATATTTTTCGTGTAAATTTGACATGGCTCTAAATAATACAGTACCCAAGAGCCTCGGCCACCGTTGCTATGGAGAGAAAGGCATGAATCTCAGCTGTCGTAAATTAAAAATATTTTGTTGTTGCAGTTCTCAACAAAACACAGCGTCATTGATGGTAAATTCAAAGTGAAATCATTGAAGCTGCAGTTTAATCTTTAGTTTTCACTCACAGTTAGCGGGGCACTTTACATAATTTTAAGCTCTGTGATTGGATATCGGACACAGGCTTTTGCCTTCAACCTTTTATAAAGGAATCAGATATTTTCTGATGCAGTTCTTTTGTCAACAGGGAGAGTGCTCGAACTGTGACTCACATAAAAAATTTTTAAATAATAATAATGAATAAGCATTTAACTTACAGGGGCCCACTGATTCAAACACACTGCAATATTATACCAATAAGCACTGTGATGATTAAGATGAAGGTGTAAAGAGTTTCATCTTACCCGACAGGAAGAGAGCCTTGTCTACAGTAAACTCTTCAGCAAATCTGATATGGCAGAAGTTTTTCTTGCTTTTGCGTATGGCGGTGATATCACCACACTGTCCGAAGACCTCCATGATGAGTTGCTCTGTGGCGTTCTCTGGCAGACCGCCAACAAACACTGTCTTACACCCTGGAGGGCGGTCTCTCGTAGCTGGAGGGGGAAGGTCTGTTCAAAAGTTGCGGAACAGAGGAAAGAAAACAGAGTTATGCAAGTGTCAATCATCCCTAGGTTGTAATATTAAGACAGGGCTGGGAAACTGTGTATAGTTGCACTTATGTAGATAATACAGCTGAAATACAAACAGCTCAAGAAATTATGTAGCTGTCCCGGAACACTAAAACTCGATTTTGAGTATGAATTATGCTCTTTGAGAAGCTGAAAACAATATGTCCAATGGTAAGAACATACTGTTTTGATTTAATCGCTGCTGGAAATAATCTTGGCAGACCTGAGCAGCCGGTCTGATTTGCTGTCTTTTGTTTAACTCAAAAAGAAATATGTACAGTGAATAAAAGAGCATCCAAATAACAATGTTGTGCTATTTAAACACATAGTGATTGGATCTGAACAGACAAAAGCCTGGGTGTTTATATTGTATAGCTATCAATATATAAAAACATGCAAAGAAGTTGAAACTGAAGAACAAAGCCGTCCACACAAACAGACTATGTCTTATTATGTATAATAAAAAGGATCCATAAAATTTTATTGAAAGACAAAACAGGGAAAAGTGTCTCTCCAATAATTGCAAAAAGAAGACTTCCATGATAAAGCATCCAATCCCCCCATAATGACTGATGGAAAAAATAGCATATCCTGAAGGAATAAATAACAAATAAATCCCAACAAGGACCTGAGGTTGAACTCCACATTTACGCTGAAGAATAAGGGCCAGGTCACATCAAATTTTAAAGAGGAAGAAGAAAAATTCTGTCTATAATACAATTTAAGACCAAATTCTGGAGCTTGATGCTGCAAAATTCAATTAAGTGATATTTAAAACATAGCACTTATGACCTAAAAAAATGATAAAGCTTAATGCATGAATAATGATAACTTGGAGCAATATGCTCAGATCGTTTTTGTTAGATAAATGTTAATATCAAACCATTCCGTGCATGAAAATGAAATCCTTTTGGCCACAAAGTGATTGCAAATCCTCTCATGTGGAAGGTCCCCTGCACTGCAGAAATCACTTATTCAACACAGATGAGTGTTGACTGATCTAATCTCCAATAGATCAGGCTCCTCATCCATGATGAATGTGATTAGCGGGGGTCTATGAGGAGTGAACCAGCTAATCAGAGGGATGCTGAGGATGCTGTATTTCTGGATGTTGGCTAGAAAAGGCCTTGCAATCACTGTTACTGATGCACCCACCCTTGTAGAGATCGATACTCTGAAAAGAACTGGGGCTGGATGTGGCTGGATACTTGAGTTGTATCACGAGGGTCTGGTTGATCAGCACCAAGGGGAGTAACTCTGATATCTTGAGGTCTTATTCAAGTGTGATCAAAAGGATTTCTCAGTGCCAAACAGAAAAGCATTTTAAATACGGTGGTAAACCCCTGGAACTCAACAGAAACGTCTGGTCTGTATAAAAAACAGTTGTTAAAGAAATAATGGTCCATCCACTCCGACAGCCCCCATCCCCTATGCTCAGAATTTCAGATCTCACCTTCTGGTTCCCTTATTTATACTCACATCAGCCAGAACAAACACTCTTACTACCCTCTGCCAACTAAACTGTGTGAGGAAAAGGATCCTCTCATAATTGTAATAATAATTATTTTTAAAAAATTTACTTCTTCACTCCAAACCTCAACGGCAGCACAAGATTTGGGTAACGAAAGAAAGAATGACATGATACAAACAGCTGACATGAGGTTTCCCAGCAGGGTGTCCGGTTTCTTTCTACATGACGAAGTAAGGAGCTCAGTTAGACAGTTAGACATCAGTATTGAGCCAGTACTGCAGCTTCATATTTAGTGGAGCCAGCTGTCATTAGGGCTCCTATTAAAAATGTTTGTCTAATAAGTTGATAATAAATATACTAACCAAGTGGAATACATATTTTACAAAAAGAAAAATATTCATGGGATGTCAAACAGTGAAAACATTACAATCCAAAGTCAGAGTTTTCTCCTGGCTAAAAAACGATTTATCAGCTATAATCCCCCTGCTGTCAGAGCTTGTACTCTCATGCAGTACTCGAAAGATTTGCAAAATAACTTTCAGTCCCAGCCAGCACAGTCCCTTTCTTTAATGTGTGTGTGTATATGTGTGTATATGTATATGTGTGTGTGTATGTGTGTGTTTGTGTGTGTGTATATGTGTATTCTGTCTGCAGACAGACAATTACTGCTTTACCCCCGCCTCCTCTTTCCTTTAAATGGGGCTGGTAAAGCAAAATATTGACTAGTTTCATTCCCTGACCTCAAGAGTTGGCAGATTAAACTAGTTTAGAGGTGAGATGGACAGAAAAAGTAAAAATATGGTGCAGGAAAAGCCTACGATAGAAGAAAGATAGGAAAAAAAAAGCTTTGTTGGCAGATGCAACAAAGGGTTCCAAATTAACTGACCTTTTCGGTCCACGAGTAGCTGACGGTGTTGATGGGGGGGAGCAATGAGGACAGAGAAAAGAAAACAGGTGCAGTGCTGCAGTGACCTAATGTGTGATGCTGTAAATTAAATGAAAATAGTTTAATTTTGTTGTAGAAAGGAAGGGTTATTTTGGCTTCAGTTGGGTAATTTATTAGTAGCTAACAACAGTTTGCAGGAGTGAGATAATTTCTTTTCAGCTACCTGCTGCACTACTGAACCCCTCTGTTCAGCACATTGGGACTTTATATGCAAATGTACAAGATTCAGACAAACTATTCGTGATTTCCTGATTGAATTACATTAAATACACAATATCATGCAATATATTGAAGCATTAACAATTCTAGTGATTCTTCTATGCAACTAAAAAGCAGATGAACCTGAGGCAGAGAAAGACAGGGAGAGAATGGAGGGAGCAGCTATTGCAGGATCTACTGTGATAATTATTACATGTAGGTGCTGCTGCCAGACAGAGTTTAAAAAGCACTACTTTGTCCAAATTCTAACTCGATATGCGTGTCCCTTTGAGTAATTGTGAGATGGACGCTCCAAGGCCGATAATCTTAAAATGCAGACAGAGAAACAGACAGAGAGAGAGGAGAGGCTGGATGTAGTGTCAAGAGTAGGAAAAAAGAGCAAATGAATAAGCAGGAGATAGAGACCAGGCATTGAAAGGTTATGAAGAGTTTTTGCAGTATATTGTATTGTATTTAGTGAGGATCAAAATATTAAAAAAGAACTATAATTTAATGCAATGACACACACAAAACACAAAACAAAAAACTAAAATTACAACAAAACTGAATCTGTTGTATTGGACTGCATTATAATGTAAAAGGTTTATCATCTTTCTGCACACTTATGTTTTGAATCTTGGGAAATAAGCCTTATTTAGGGATATTATGAATCATTGCTTGACTAATAAGCTCTTTGATGTGCTTTTATTCTAACGTGTTACTTCAACAAAATATGAAGCAAATACACAGGCTGATTCTCCGTCCAGCCCTGTACCACAGGCCGGCTGCCTGTGTGGCCACTGCTACACTAACACTGGTCATCACCATCCATCACTTTGACTGGATAAACGCACTTTTATGGTCCGAGGGGATGCCACAGAGGGGAGGCTTCAACTCTCAAAGAACTGATATTCAGAAGATGAACTGCTTTTACACATACTCAAGTAAATAAGTTTAGTTCATTCATGTCACACAAAAGGCGTGAACCTGCATTTTTTATTTATCACACAGAGAAGTAGACACCACTGTCAGCACACTTAGACCTCCTTGTTTTGTCTATTTGCCAGTTTTTCATTAAGTCCTAGGTTGATTGATGAATTTAGATTTTTAGTTTTATTGAAAACTACTTGTTAAGTTAATAGTCATTACTGAAAATGACATCCATGGCATCACAACAATATTTAAGATACTTCAACCTTCTGCGTGACTACATTTATCTGCTGAGGAACAATAATGCTGAAAAAACAAACAAAAAAAAACAAACTAAAAAATCCACTATTGCAGTTGGGTATCCTTCTTCATTCAAGCTCAATGGCGTGTATATGTGTGCATATGTAACACAGGGGACACACAGCTAGTATCCACAAAGCTCAAAAGAATGTTTCATCTTTCCTTACGGGTAATTATGAAATCTCTCTCTCAGACTACCGTCAGAAGGTTGAAAGAGTAAGAGACAGACAACACAGAATTTGATGTCAAAGTTGATTGTCAAAGTGAGTGTTGAGAGTAGAGAATAATAGGTACTACACCACTTTTGCACAAGATAGCTCAGTGTAAAGAAGAGGCAGTGGAGAAGGTAAAAGAGGGATAAGGCTGAATGGGTAGGGTTTGACTGACAAAAAGGGAGAAGGACGCAACAACAAAAGAGCTTGATGAGGATGCACACTGACAGTAAAGGTTAAGCACACTGAGGAGGCAGAAGAAGAGGGAGAGAGCACGAGAGCTGGGGGTGGGCTGCAGGGTTGTTGCTGCTCAGCTACAAGTCAGTGAGAGGGGATGTTGTACGTGGTGTCAAGTTCAGTGTGTGCAGCTCGAGGGTAATGACTACTTGTGATGGACACCATATGCAACTATGTTGCCTAGATGCCAGCACTTTGCCTGTGATATTTGCTAAAAGCCTGAATGCAGCTAGCATTAATGCTTCCACCCACTGTGTTCCTCACATATTGTGTAAACCTTCAAACCATATGCATCCCTAATACAGATCTGGTTCGGAACAATACTTCACAATTCTAAAGCCCATGGGGCTGTTGTACAAATTGATCTCACAGTATTATTCAATAATATTGCAACTCCGCATAGAGGAAATTTGAAAAGATATTCCACATCACATGTACAGTAAGCTATAATGACAGTGAGGTGAAATGTGCCTATTCGATGAAGTGATGTGTGTAGGCTTTGTACCTGTACATCTTTCAGTTTTCCACTGTTTTCTGTGAGTCCAGGTTGCATTGACTGCAGAGGTCCCCAGACATATCCCAGACATCCTTCTCTAAAGCCCTTCCCTAATGTCCTCCAGCTTGTCAAGGGGGATTCCTGAAGCATTTTTAGTCTAGGAGGGATATATCATCACATCACCAGATGTGCCTGGAAAATCTCCATTTAGAGGCCTCCAAAAGGAAAGGAGATGCTTCATCACCAGCTCCTTTCTGTGAAAATTAGCAGTTCGACTCCAAGCTCCTTCTTGAAGTCCAGGCTCCTGACCCCTGTCCCTGAGGATGAAGCCTGACACCAGGAAGGGAAACAATTTTTGGCTGCTTGCAACCTCAGTCCCGGTTGTTTGGGTAGACTGGCTGGTAGGGCATTCTGCCTTCAGGTACAGCTCCATTTTCTGCACCAATTTACCTGTCTGGATCTCACGCTCCCATCTTCACTTCACTTGTGAAGATGAAAATAATTGTTAGTTGCAGCCCTAACACCAACAGCTTCACGTTAGCCTGCAAAACACTAGAGTACATTCTGGTGGTCAAGGGCTCTCGACCAAGAGATTCTGACCATGTAATTCATATGCAGAATTGGTGACAATCCACATCCTTGCCATACAACAATTGCTTTTAGTCTGGCCCCACGCCTGGGACCAATTTGACTTTAGAGACGCTATCGGGAGCTGCTGGCCCCAACAACACAACTCCCAGGGTTTAGTGGCTTAAGTGTACGTCGTAGAGCTGAATCTTAGAGAGTTACTTGACTTTCATGAGAAGAATCAAGCTTAGGCAGTTTTCTTTAGATGTCTGCTTTTTCAAAATACTTGGCTTAGAGATTAACTTTTTTTGTGGCACTGAAATAGGTGACAGGCAAGAAGATCTTAAGTGAAGATGGGGATCAAAAAAGTGAGTGAAGAGTAACTGGGACAGGACAGAAAGGCTCAGGGTAGATAAAGCAAAAAGTTAAGTATTGAGATGTGAAAGGTCCACAATTAAGTGGTGTGTCCATGCATCTCTGAGGAACAGCTTTAGATTTTGGGGCACAGATCAGCTTAGACATGGTATTAAGCCGGGATGTACATTTTTTCAAATTCCTGTATGCATACCAGGCCACATGAAACACAGCAAAAAGTTGTATGCATTTCAGAGTGATCGTGACAGGCTCTAAAGTTGCTGGGTAATTTCTTCACATGCTGATCCCTCACACAGCCTCAGGGTTTTTATGTGCCCTTACAGAGAAAACCTAGTTAATTTCCCAGATTTACAACTAGCTAGAAAGATATTCCTAGGTGAAGTAAAACTTTTAAAATCAGCTTTTCCTCTGCATCATAATTTGACAGTGATAGTTCATACTGTGCCATAATGCACACCGCAGACATAAAAACAGTTTTCAAGGTGTGAAAAAAGAACAATATTTGCCTGAAAGAATGCAAGAGTGTGTTTTGTTATGTAAAAGGATTATAAACTCCCAAATGCCACTGCTGTGAGGAGCTTTTGTTTTAGTTCACCTTGAAGATGACATGTAAGACTTGTTTGAATAAAGTACCCAGGCATAAACTTCTCTGTAGCAGGAGATCTTAAAAGCAAAGGTGGGATCAATCAAAACACACACCCCTATCTCCTTCCTAACTCCAGATAATTGGAACGTGGAGGTGAGATAAATATAAAGAACAGCTGGTGCAACACACCTCTCGTCAGATTACACAAAGCGACTTGCCCTGGAAAAGGCCAACGTATGTTGTGGATGTAAATGCAGTTCTTTGTGATCAGGTTAATGATTATGAAAAAATAAAGTGGTACAATACAAATGATCCACTCTTGGCTCTGACATTGCTGATTGCTGATTCCCATATTGAAATACAAAGTCAAAACAAAATGTTTATAAAATTCTTGGGTCTGACATATAACAGCAGAAATCTTCACAGAAATATTTAAATATGCATGCTAACGTCTGCCGTAAACACCCTTATTTGTCTTCTTCAATCAAAATGATAAAATGTTTAAAGCTAAAACGATTAGCAGAAAATGAAAGGTAACTTTTTTAAATGTTCAATTAATGATTTAAGTGGTTTCTCAAGCTAAATAACTAACGTTTCTCTGGTTACAGCTGGTTTTCTTGGTAGTCTACAATTGACTGAAAAAATAATCGGTAGCTTAATCGATAATGAAAACAGATTGAAGTAAAAACCCATAGACCCTTGATACCTGAACAACTCCTTCCGCTTAGGGAAGACTATGAGATGTGGTTGAAAACTCATGAAACGTTCGGCCTGTTATTTAAAATGTTTTTTGCCAAGACACTACCTCCTAGGTCCTAACAATGTTACAAAATGAGATGCTTGTGATTGTGGTGCAATTCTTTTTCACGGAGATGCTGGTAAAGGAGAAGGTTGGGGGTGGTAGACAGCACAGGATTAGCATGAAATTATGGCTTACTGGGGTTGGGGGGGAACAGAGTGCAGCTCTTGCAGTGGATGATCTCCTTGATAACAGGCACATCCTGGGAGAGCGGTGCAGGCACCATACCGAGTCCAGGCATCATGGGATTCAGTGGGGTAATGCCAGCCATCATACCAAGGTTGGGATCAAAATCTGGAGGCAGAAGAGAAATATTAATGAGATCACACAGCACATCCTTCCTGGGAAAGAACAAACACCTACACAGTAGCATTAAAACACAGACTTGTTTCCAGCAGCTAACCTCTGGTCAGGTATCACTTCAGCCTATACTGAATCTTTTAAGTTCCATTTCACGTTGTGTACTTATTCCCTGAGTGATTCCTCTGTCAACACGGTGACACACAAACAGCCTACACATAATAGAATTCACAGCCATTCATGAATAAATCATCTCGTAAACAACATGCATATTTTAAGAAGTTTTAAGTGAGTCACTCTCTCTGTGACTCCTGCCATTTGAAGGATGACCTTATAGATAATGTACACACTTGGGTCTGAAATCTATGTAACAGAGAAACTTTATTTACAATACGGATTTATACTGCAGCACTTCTCTCCACAGACACACATGCTTTTTATGTGTACACGAGTCCTAGTAAGGAGCTTTTTGAAAGTGATGCTGCCTTCCTCTATGTGCCTCAACATCACCTGCAGAGGATTTGGAGTTGACAATTATGCCGCAGGGTGTGTTATGTTTAAGCACCTGCATGTGTGCATGAAGGAACACGGCTCACTAAAATAAATTATGCACTGGAGATTATCTACACTGTAACATACTTGACATGTAACAAAAACAATCTGACTCACTGGCTAACATTTTTACCAAAAGTCCTATTTGCTGACTCTAAGACGCACTTAAGTGTGTTTATATTGAATAATGGCTATTCTACCACTGATAATTGGTTTCAGTTTAACATTCTGATGCTAGTAGCAACCACTACTGACACAGTTCCATAGTAAATTCAGGGGCAGCATCGTTTGAAGAACTAACAGCTGTGTCTTAATTCAGGGACCGCATTTTCTCTGATCTGTGTCCAAGCAAATATTGAGGCGTCTTGTTTTTTACAATTGTGTTACTGCTAACCAAGTTAGTCACTATACTAGCTGTTTGGAGCCAATGTGTTGCTAATGCATCATTCTAAGTAACGGCTGAAATCCTGTCAGCATAACTATTGTGTAGTTTACTCTTTGTACTTTTATCCTTGTGGACCTTATGTGTATGTTTAGATTAGACAGTTACTGTGTTATACTTCCTATGGGGACTTGATATTGATCTTTCATTGGTGATACTCTCTCTCTTCTTAACATGAAGCACAATGTAACTAATATAACCACTGTCATATTAGTTACATTGTGCTTCATGTGTTTCTGTGTTGCTGTACTAAGTAATTTTTACCTTGCCTGTCTCACTCTAGTTAACGTATTGTCATTGTTTTCATATTTGTAATTTTCATAGTTTCACGGTTGCTTCCAGTAAAAACTTCAAATACAATCTGTCTTCAACCTTCTTTGGAAGTGTGTTCACACTTTAACATATTTCACAAATTATTTATTCCATTTATATATACATTTATATATATTTTTCATTTTTATTTATATAATATTGATTACTTTGGGTCTCCATACAGGAGGAGCCACAATTTACAACAATGCAAAAATAAATGAATTTCTTCTTTTAAAGTCTTAAATTCAACTTTTTTACTTAGTTTTGAATTCTCTGTAATCAAATATTCACTTCCTCTCCAACAGAGAATAAGTGCAGCACTTTCATCAGTAGCAATAAATCAGCTGAAGGAGAAATATTTACTACCTTTATAACATCTACCTAATAAGTGATTTCCTGTAAATCTACTCTAAGATAGAAAATGGATGAATTAAATGACACAGTGAAGGAGAATGAAGAAATATGCACATTACAGACTACTCAGAATAGATCCCTGGAGCCCCAGAGGGTGTAATAAAAACGAAGATGAAATAAGCTGAAGGACAAAAATAGGGAAATATAAAGAGAGGAACAGAAAACATAGTTAAAAAATAAAATTAAAATAAAAAGCCGGGCGAACTACATTAAAGTTAAATGGATGGAAACTATGTCTACTGATGACCTCGCCATCAGTCTCTAACCAGGTGTCAGAGTGAGACGGAACAGGTGATAAGAAAGACCCTAGTTGCCAGTCGATTGATGGCTTCTTCTTCACGGTAACTTGAAAGAAAAGAAGACGGATAGCAGGAGGGAAGATAAGAAAGGAGTGGATGGAAGATGGGAGGCTGGTGCAGTAACCAACCTGAATGCCAAACACTTTGCATAGAAAAGGACTGAGGAAACAAAACAGAGTATGCTGTGGAAGAAAACATTGTAAAAATCTTAGAAATAATGCTTGAGCCAATGCTCTACTGTTCCAGTGGTAAAATTAAGAAACATGCTTATGAGGTAATACATTGTATTTTAATGCAAAGCAAACTAGATGTCATTTCACGTAGAGTAAAAGATCTGGTTACATCAGGACATGGCTGGTGCAATTTCACAGCAGTGCTGCTCATGTTCCCTCTGGAGTGTGTGTTGATGTGTGTGTATTTATCCACGTCCATAAAGAGTCTGAGACCTGAAGCAAGCATGTAGCAGAGCTGTGTGTAATAAAGGAGATTTACTTATTCCCAAGGATTTCCAGCTCCACCAGAGTTCTCTCATCTCCAACAATGTAGCTTAAGGACGTGTTTCATCATCACTAACGTACCATTATTTCCTCCCTCTGTCAGTGCTACTCATTACAATGCATGCTGTAAGTAGAAACAGATGCACATCAGAGGGGTGCACTTCATCCAATGTATGTGTTTATACAGTTTTCTAAAAGGGATTTGCTGTTATGTTCCCGATTTAAATTTATTTCTCGCCGTTTAAATATTTATTAGAGTCCAGTTTACATTTGAAAATGCATTATACTGGTGGATTTGACAGTTTTGCCAGCCAGTGTGAAATGTGCCTCCTGTCGTTTGTTCCAGATTTTAGGGGCCCTGACAGAAAAAATCACACTTTCACCTGTAATTTTCTGCCTATCACAGCTGTAGTTTTAAGATGATAATGTTATAGATGTCCTAGGTCACAAAATGCCAGAAAACAAGTTACAAGGTTCAAACATACAAGTGAAGAGACACCACAAGATTAAAGTTTTGAAGTCAATGAGGTATGATATGTTTTTGCTATCTTTTGTTTAAATGCAAATAACTTCTAGCTTGTCAATCACTAACTCACACATTTAATTCTAACAGACTGTAGATTATCCACAAGAGGGAGCAGCGCAGACAGACAATTTCCACAAATGCCAACCTGTGCCCCCTATAGAAAAGTAAAGAAATGACAGGATGGATGTTAAGAGTTTTCTCATGGCTTCTGCATCCCACACTCCAGAATGAAAATGACTAAAATGACATCGCTCTTGTTCTTGTAGTTCATTTCAATAAGGCGTATTCATTGTAATGGCAGTGTCCTTGGTTTAAATCTGACCTTGGTCATCTGCTGCTTGCCAGCATCTCCCTTTCCCCTCTCTGCGTGTAAACCATCACAAAAAATGCTTGAGAAGAAAGCTTAAAAATAAACCCAGGCCCTGGTCCAACAGAGGCATTACAGAAGATCAATAAAATTTTTAAATTAATCCCACATTACATCTGGAATTCATCATGTGAAGGTAGAATGAGGTTAATAAGCATTTTCTGCCACTGAGCACTACACTTTCATAAAAGGACAAGCAGTCAGGCAGCTCCACTCACCAACAACTAATCTGCAGTGCTACAGGGATGAGTGGGTGAGCAGGTCATCAGGGCACCTACATCAACGTTGTTGTATCTAATATTAACTAATATTACTATTCCTCTAATACTACAACACATCCTTTGTATTTAGTTGGACTCTAATGGCTATTGGGACAACTAGGGTTCTGGGACATACTATATTACCATGTGACACAGAAGTAGTAAACTACTGCTGAAATATTGGACTTTTGCATCTTAATGCACAAATTTAAGAGGAACCTCACAATAAAGTGAAAAAGCGAAACCAAAGTTTAATCTAAATTCATAAATTGATCAGTAACACAAACACCAAGCTTTGTTATCTATTATTTATATCAATTTATTTTTTAATCAAGTTAGTTTCCCATAAATCAGTGATGGAAAGAAACTAGGTACATTTACTTAAGTACTGTACTATTCTACTCCACTGCATTGCAGAGGGAAATGTTTTTTATTTATTTTCTGCTTTCTTAGACATACGTGACAGTAAAGTGAACATTGTTGGATTTTGGACCGATGGTCGGACAAAACAAGACATTTGAAGATCAAGTTTACAAAATATGATGTATTCATATATATTACTACTAAAGTTAATTATTAGCCCACTCTACACCTG